CTCAGCCTCCTAAGTAGCTAGGATTACAGGCAAGAGCCACCAGCACCCAGTGATCACGTCTATCTTTTTTGGTGGTTAATTGGAGGTAAGAGTCTCATAGACTTTCCTGCCCAGACTGACTTCATACCACAATCCTCAGATTTCAGTCTGTGAAGTAGCTAGGGTTACTGATGTGAGCCACAGGAACCTTGCTTCATTTTGCAGTTTTCTCAAACCATACTTTCACCTATGAGATCACTTCTAGATCAAGACATTTCTCATGAGCTATGACAACGTGAAGTGTGGCTTACTTTGATATCCCCTTCATCTGCCTCTTCTCTGCTCACTGTAGCCCCCGCCCGTGCCCAACACCCACCACGCATCTGCAGCACCGGAAGTCCTGGTGGCTCCTCCTGGCAGAGCCTCAGAGGGAAAGTGCTCCCACAGGAAGCAGTAAGTGAGAACTTTGCGTTTTTAATGTGACCTTCGTTTGTGGGGTGGAGGGCAGCTGAAAAGGGGGGGGGAGTGTGAGGAAGGGACTGGGGGTAGTCTCTTTGCCAGCTGGGGAGGACACACAGTTTTTCTCCAAGCAGCAGTTGTAGCCGCTTTGAAACAATTCCTGGAAATTTACTCCTTCTCCTTCCCCACACCCCAATATATGGACCAGACATTGTGATCCACAATGGGAAAGGAAGGAAGGTACCAGGGAGGCGATAACAAGACACATGAAGGAAGTCTGGAAGCTTTCCAAGGCTGGGTTGGGGGTAAAAGGCTGGAGCGTAGACGCTGGAGAAGAAGTAAATGAGGCTGTTCCAGAAAACTCCCCTGACTTTCCTCACCTGCAGGAGCAGGTGGAAGGTAGAGAGGTCAAGGCCAAAGAGTTTGGCAGTGACTATACTCCCATTTTCAGCAGCAGCTTCTAGAAGGTCACTGAGTGGAAAAGGCATGTGTGGTCATCCTACCAGGAGAAAACCAGCCTATCTGTACAGTAGCCCAACACCAGGCTACTGTGTTGGAAAGGGGGGCCCCCAGACTCCCCCAAGAAGGGTTCACTACTCTCCATGGCTCCTTGTGCTCAGCTCTTTTCTGACCACTCACCCTTCACCAGACAGAGTGAATAATAAGTTTGAGGAACCAGATCTGATTTTGACACTTTGTTCCACTACCCAGTTGGCTGTGTGACTTTGGGTTAGTCACTTAACCTTTCAGTCGCAAGCTGCTTGTATACGGAGTGAAGATAATGATGATAGAGTACATGCAAAGGGCATACACATGAGCATACCCTTCCCCCACTGCTTCAACGGAATGAACCTTGAAACACTGTCCTTTAGTCCCACTGACTGTCATCTTTCTCTGAGTTGGATCAGTGTCCACTTCCTCTTTGGCGAGTGAAACATTCTCAACTGCCACTATGAGTCATCACAGAAGAGATAATATTCGTTGGACATCCACCATTTGTTGGACACGGTTATAAGGGAGATGAATGACTACATTTAATCCTCATGACAAGGATGAAGTGGCTACTATCACATGAGGAAACTGAGGCATAAAGAATTAAACAACTTTCACAAATTAAATTAAATTAGTCATTCAATTAAGTCTCTAGTAAGGATTCTTGACCAGAATTCCTTGTATCTAACAAAGTATTCCTTGTGAATCCTCTACAAAGTGCTATATAGGAAATGTTATGTTGTGAATGTATTTTTATGCAGATTTAGGGCCTTCATTAGGTTCTCAAAGGGCCCCACAAGGTTATACATAATGATTGCCCTTGAAGAGCTTCTAAGAGATACTCTTTATTATAAAGATGGGTAAGAAATACAGATGAAAGTGAGGAGTGAAGCCAGATGTTGTATTTTTCTGCCTCTTCATTCACCTCTGCTAGATGTGAGGTATAGCCAGAAGGAAGCCAGAAACACAGGAAATGGGGAAGAGTTAATCCCTCTCCTCACAGAGCTGGGATTCCACCGAAGCTCTGTGTTTGGCTCTTTCAACACATGAGGGCTGGATGTGGCAGTACACAGATAATTCTAGCTGGGTGAAAGGCATAGATAGGAGGATCAAAGTCCACATCAACCCTGGCAAGAACACACCAGACCTTTGTAAATATTAATGAAACCAAAAAGGGATCAGGTGTGGGTCAAAGTAGCTAGACCTGTCTAGCTGGCACAACATATTGCTTTATTCAAATGAAACATGTTGCTTTATTCAGGCTTAAACTGGGGCTTCCAGATTGATATTATTTTTCTTCTCTGAAAAATGACACCGATTACTGAGAAATGTGTAGATCTGAGGAGGAAAGTGGTCCAGAGGTATAGGTTCACTTCTATGACCCTTCTCTGGGTGTGACCTCTTAGGATTCTAATCTCCCTGGACAGAAATTACAGGTGCTGTTCCACCAGGCTATGAGCTACGGGCCTGTCCTGTGGAAGGAGACCCACATGAACACAGAAGTCTGATATACTTAGAACACCAAGTCCTCTCAGACCTCGGGCTGCTCTACTCCCTCTTTTCCTGGTCCATTCTAGTGGATCTGAACAGGGACTGGAGCTCCGTCCTGTCATTGTGTGTGGGCACCACTAGAAAAAAGAAATTCCCACTTATCACTATGCTGGCCTTTCTAAGAGCAGAGGGTAAGTGGCTCCCACTTTCTTCCTCCCAGATCACCCATTTCTGACAGGAAGGGGTGTGTCTTTTAGGTTTGAGTTTCTCTGTCTGGCTTAGAATGTTGTTACATGCTCTGGAGGGCTAGGAACAGGTTTGCATCAGTACTTCATGTTCTTACCAGCCAGCACCGTTTTCCACTTTTCCTCTGAAAAGCTCCAGAGGAAGGACACCCTATAGCAGAAACAATGCTATTAAAGGAATAGAGTGGAGTCCAGCCAGGGTGGCAGATTCCAACCTAACACCTGAGCCAAGACTGCAATACCTCAAACTAACCAGCAGGGGGACTGGACGTTTCTCCAGCCACAGCAGGAAAAGCCTCCTTTCTAGTCTACTTCATCTTTCCTTAACTAAATGACAGAACTTTGGGTAGAGGCGAACAGTAGGGGAAATACTGGCTTCTTTTCTGTTCCTTCCTACCGCCTTAGCTCCCTACCCCTCTTTATCCTGCCCTCTGAGAACCAAGGATATATTGTACAATCTCTGGCCCTGTCTTTGGTCTTTAGAGAGGAAGCTCCTTCCTGTGTGCCCATACAGAGCCCTTCATGCCTGGCTGAAGATCAAGACTCCCTGCTGTCTCTGTGGTCCTTGTTCAGTGAGTCTTTTTACTTTTAAATCATCAGTGTCTGAAGGGGAACAGATTCTCGATGTGTGGCCTGACAAGAGAGGACCTTATTGCAAAGGGCATGAGACAGGTACCCAAGGTTGGTGCTCCACAACTCAGTACTCATGTAGGAAGACTGACGTCAAGGTGCTGTGAGATATAAGCAGCAGGAGAGGAAGATAGATAGAGGGTTGCACTACATGCAATTTACTGGGGACTTGTGGCCAGAACTATGGTCCTAGATGGCAATAATTTGCATCAATTTGGATCAGAAAGAGAAATCTGTGTATATATGGGTTAGGACAAAAAAAAAATGCCATCCTGGCTGGAAACTCCTGGTTTATCTTAAGCTGGTATCAAGGAATCAGGCATATCCCTACAGCCAGGGATCTGTTGCAAAATTCCACATACCACTCTTAAGTTTCATCTAAGCCAAGTGTTGGAGGCATGTGCATATCTTCCTATCGACTTAGAAAGCTGAGATCTGGGGATTGCAGTTTGAAGCCAACTCTAGCAGGAAAGTCTGTGAGACTTGTCTCTCCAATTAACCAGCAAAAATTCAGAAGAGGAAGTGTGGCTGAAATGGTAGAATGCTGACCTTGAACAAACATAGCTTAGGGACAGTGCCCAGGACCTGGGTTCAAGCCCTAGTACTAGCACACAAAAGGAAGTTTTATCTATAGTTTGCTGGGAAAGTATGTGGGGAAACTGGTTAGGGTAATTAGTGGCAGTTACAACTTGAGATCCCTGCAGCTTGGAAAAGATCAGCTTCAGCAGGTAGAAGGCACTCTCTTTCCCTTCCAGTAGCTCTGGGAGTTTGATTCTAGCCCCCATTCCCTTTTTACCTTCCTTTCCTTGCCTTTCAAGTCAGACTCCCTGTTTAAGGTCTCTGGCTCTATCATTCCAGACAACTACTACACCAGAAAGGCACTTAAATCTTCTGTCCTACTCCTTTGGCTTTTTCCTGTTGTTCTGCAGGAAATGAAAGGGACTTCATTTTCTCAGGAGCGATTCTGGGTGCCAAGCCAATGAGAAACCCCACAGTGAAGGTTTCACTGTGTGTTTTGGCTCCAAGACTAAATTCTCATTACTACCTCATGTGTAGACAAAGACCATGATAAGTATTAGCATGTAAGGCACACAAAGGCAGTGCGAGTCTGGAGCTTGATCAGAGTAGGGCATGTGATACATAGAGTATGTGGGTTTCTATGTGGCCACAAGAAATCACAGAGCAACCAATGAATTAGTGTGATTTTGTGTTTTGCTTATGGTCATGACTTGGGATATCCAAGGGCATTTAATGCATCAATATAATCAAAACAGTTCAAAGAGTAGAAAGGTGGAGCAAGGTAATAATTGAAAGAAAAAAAAAAGGTTCCAGAGAGTCAGTGATCAGGCAGGAGTGTGAGAACGCTATCTCAGAGACCTGTAAGCTTCCCTGCCTGCCACAGCTCTCTGTTTTTATTGGCAGACTTGTTTAACTTCATTGTGTCTGCGCCTGTCCTCTCTAAAGCCATGTGGCTCTACTTTGTGGTCCTCGTGGGTCTGTACTACCTGCTGCGCTGGTACCGAGAGAGGCAGGTGGTGAGCCACCTCCAGGACAAGTATGTCTTCATCACAGGCTGTGACTCGGGCTTCGGGAACCTGCTGGCCAGACAGCTGGACATGCGAGGCTTGAGGGTGCTGGCTGCATGTCTGACGGAGAAGGGGGCTGAGCAGCTGAGGAACAAGGCATCAGAAAGGCTGGAGACCGTGATCCTAGATGTCACCAACACAGAGAGCATTGCTGCAGCCACCCAGTGGGTGAAGGAGCGCGTGGGAGACAGAGGTACTGCCTGCATGTCTGTCGGTTTCTTTTCTGTGTGGACAGAGGACTTCTGTGTGCTCCCTGGCAGGATTCCTGAGAGGTTTGTTGAAGCTTGAAATAATAACAACTTTCTCCCCCTCCCAGCATGTCCCTTGGAGATGCTTTTTTCCTCCAGCCCTCTACCATTTTGAGATCTCTCTAGTCTTGGTAACAGGATGTTCTGGAGAGAGTTTATTCTCCAAGATTCATTTTTGTTCTTTGCCTTCCTTGAAAGTCTGAACTGCTGGATACTGAGTACCAGGTTAAGAGCCCCATGCCTTTCTAGAAGAGAAGAGGTTCCTGTGGCCCTGGAGTGCAGGGAGCTGTGTGTGTTGCTGGCATTGCTGGAGGGGGATTCATGCATCAGCACTGTCACTTGTTCTCACTACTCACCTCTCATCCTCCACCTATACCAGAGCCAAGACCATGCCCATGTTTACAGCAGGACGGGACAAAACTAGGAGGGAGGTTATTTTCTTTCCCTTCCTTCCTTCTTTCCTTCCTTCCTTTTTCTTCCTTCCCTCCTTCCCTCCTTTCTTTCTTCTTCCTTTCACCATATTATGTGTTTTGTGAGGTAAGAAAAGAACATTAATTTCTTTTATCTAGGAATAAATATAAAATATGATTTTTGTTGAAAATCTTGGAATGTATGAAGTCATAACAAAATTCACCTGAAGTCTTACCTGTCAGAGATAAATGCTATCAATACTGTGACCCAGGTATTTAGTTTAGTTCATGTATTTATTTATTTTGGTGCCACTATTAGGGCTTAAACTCAGGACCTAGTGTTGTCCCTTAGCTTTTTCATTCAAGGCTGTATCTCTACCACTTGAGCCATAGCTACACTTCCTGCTTTTTGATAATTAATTAGAGATAGAGTCTTAAGAACTTTCTTTCCTGCCTGGCTGGCTTCAAACCAGAGTCCTCAGAGCTCAGCCTTCTGAATAGCTAGGATTATAGATGTGAGACACTGGTGCCTGGTAGGATTATATTTAATTCATAGTTTGTATCTTATTCTTTTTTTTGGTGGTCATAGCGCTTGAACTCTGGGCCTGTGCGTTGTCCCTCAGCTGTTCAGCTCAAGGCAAGCGCTCTACCACTTGAGCCACAGTGCCACTTCTGGTTTTCTGGTGGTTTATTGGAGATAAGAGTCTCATGGACTTTCTTGCCTGGGCTGGCTTTAATTCGCAATCCTCAGATCTCAGCCTCCTGAGAAGCTAGGATTACATGCTTGAGTCACCTGCACCCTGCTCTATCTTATCCTTTTCATTACAAAGGGGGGGTAGGAGGAGAGGCTAGAGGTGTGGTTTAACTTCATTTAAGTGCTACCACCAAAAAAAATAATAAATAAAACAATAGGCCAGTATCTGGTAGCAAACACTTGTAATCCTAGCTACTCAGGAGGCTGAGATCTGAGGATCATGGTTTGAAGCCAGCCCAGGTAGGAAGGTTCTTTAAACTCTTATCTCCAATTAATCACAAACAACAACAACAACAAAGCTGATAGTGGCGCTATGACTCAAAGTGGTCTAACGCTAGCCTTGAGCATAAAAGCTCAGGGACAGCACCCAGGCTTTGCGTTCAAGCCCTGGTACTAACACATGTGCGCATGCGCGCGCGCACACACACACACACACACACACACACACACACACACACACACACACACACACACACCCTAGTATTAGCAATTTTGCCACCTATTGAAAATTTCTTCAAATAGTGTTTAATAATATAGAACATTCCAGCCTTTGACATATCCCTACTTTTTTTAAACATCTCTAGTGGTTGGATACAGGAACTGTTTTGCACATTTTTGTTTTTAAGTTGCTTTATTTTAATTGTGTGTGCATGTGTGCATGTGTGAGCGTGTGTGTGTGTGTTTGTGTGTGTGTGTGTGTGTGTGTGTGTGTGCACGCGCACAAGTTCTGGGGCCTTGAACTCAGAGCCTAGATGCTATCCCTGAGCTTTTCTGCTCAAAGCTAGCACTCTGTCTTTTTAGCTAAACTCCACTTCAGGCTTTTTGGTGATTAATTGGAGATAAGAGTCTCATAGACTTTCCTGCTCAGTCAGGCTGGCTTTGAACCATGATCCTCAGTGCTCAGCCTCTTGAGTAGCTAGGATTATAGGCTTTAGCCACTAGCACCTGAGGGATTTTAATTTTTTGGTTTTTGTTTTTGTTTTTGTTTTTTTTGCCAGGGGCTTGAACTCAGGGCCTGGGCATTGAACTTCTTTTTAGCTCAAGGTTAGCATTCTACCACTTGAGCCACAGTGCCACTTCTGGCTTTTTCTGTGTATGTGGTACTGAGGAATCGAACCCAGGGCTTCATGCATGCTAGGTAAGTTCTCTACACTAAGCCACATTCCCAGCTCCTGGTTTTAAGTTTTTGAGAAAAGTGTTGCTATATAGCTCAGGCTGGATTCAAACTTAAGACCCTCATCCCTCAGCTTCTCCAGTGCTGGGATTGTAGGCATGCATTACATATCCAGCTTTTCTTACTTTTTATTGTTTTTTTTTTGGGGGGGGGTTCCGGTCATGGGGCTTGAAATCTGGGCCTGGGCGCTGTCCCTCAGCTCTTCAGCTCAAGGCTAGTGCTCTACCACTTGAGCCACAGCACCACTTCCCGCTTTTTTCATTTTGCTTTATGTGGTGCTGAGGAATCGAAGCCAGGGCCTCAGGCATGCAAGGCAAGCTCTCTATCACTGAGCCAGCTTCCCAGCCCACTTTTTATTGTTATAAATGGCATCTTTGTAAAGTTCTATTTGTTTAAATCTCTCTCTCTTTTTTTTCTTTTTCTTTTTTGTTAGTCGTGGGGCTTGAACTCTGGGCCTGGGTGCTGTCCCTCAGCTCTTCAATTCAAAGCTAGCACTCTATCACTTGAGCCACGGTGCCACTTCTGGTTTTCTGAGTGTTTTATTGGAGATAAGAGTCTCAAGGACTTTTCCTGCTCCGGCTGGCTTTGAACCGTGATCCTCAGATCTCAGCCTCCTGAGTAGCTAGGGTTACAGGCGTGAGCCACCGGTGTCCAGCTTTGTTTAAATCTCTTTAAACACAGCACTGGTGTCTGGCTTTCCAGAATGATTATACAAAGATCAGTGATCTGGGATGGGAGATGAGGGAGTAATGGGAGAACAGCACTGTGAAAGAAAGAGAGCACTTCTGGAGTAGAACTTGTGTTCTGTAGGTAAAACAAGGAGGTCCTGCCTCCTCCCTGAAGCTGCTCTTTGCATTTTGCAATTGCTTCTTCCAGAAAGTTGCTCAACAGCTCTGCAGGGGAAGTTTCAGGGCCAGTTTTCTGAGGACACACACAGCATTGTTTTCCAAATTCTCCCCAAACTAGGCCTTTGGGTTTCTATTCCCTAACTAAACTACCTAAACTTAAGTCTTGCCTTTTCTTCCTTTTTCCCTTTTATATTCTTCTTTTCCTTTCTCCCATCCTTCTTTTCTCTCAATAGATAGTGTGGAGTACTCTGTATATGCTCCTAGAAAAATCTGGAAGTTGAAGTAAAAGGATAAAATGTCTGTAAGGATAACATTAATGTATAACCCCCCCCCCACATAGTTTGTTCTCAGACTAATGAATGCACAGTATCTCCAGCACACCTATCAGCCTTGAGGTGATTGCCTGTTCCCATGAGGCAGAGGGCCGGAGCAGGAAGAGTCACAACGGGAGGAAGAATAGGGCATTGGTGGCTCACACCTACAATGCTGCTACTCAGGAGTCTAGATCTGAATATTGCAGTCCAAAGACAGCCTGGGCAGACAAATCTGAGAGGCTCTTATCTTTAACTAACCAGCAAAAAGCCAGAAGTAGAGTTATGGCTGAAGTGGTACAGTACCAGCCTTGAGAGAAAAAGCCAAGAGAGAATGAGAATGTGAACCCCTGAGTTCAAGCCACAGTATCAACACACCACACACACACACACACACACACACACACACACACACACACTCACACACACTCACGCATGCACGTACCCCAAAAGTAGGAGGAGAGATTTGTCAGTCATACCGTCCAGAATCCACACCGACAACCCTGCAGCCTCATGTATTTGTTCTACCTGCTCTCAGTCCAGCACCTATCAACATGTTCTGCATCTGGCTGAGTGTGAATGTGAGCCAGAACTGTGTCCACCCTGCACAAATCTAACACAATGTCATCCTCTCTCTTATTTTCCCAATGTCCCCAGGACTCTGGGGCCTGGTGAACAATGCAGGCATCGCCGTTCCCTGTGGCCCCACTGAGTGGATGAACAAACAGGACTATGTCAAAATTCTCGAGGTGAATCTGTTGGGGGTCATCGAGGTGACTCTGAGCATGCTTTCCTTAGTGAAGAAGGCAAGGGGCCGCGTGGTCAATGTCTCCAGTGTCATGGGCCGCGTTGCAATTTTTGGTGGTGGCTACTGCATCTCCAAGTTCGGCATAGAGGCCTTCTCAGACTCCCTCAGGTACTGGAATACCCTGGGGGAGACTTTGGCAAGATGTCTTGTTTGATTCCAGTTTTGGCAGCCTTGATTTGGAGAGCCTTCTTTCTCGGTTTGTTGTGACTCTATGATCCTTTTTCTGGATTTAGGTAATCATTTATTGAGAACCATCTTTTCAAGTCCTGGTTACAGGGAGGGGATCCCAGGCCTGAGTTCAGTTACACTCACCCTGCCCTGGATGAGGATCATAGTTGAAGAGCCTCTGAGCAGATTTGGGATGGAGATAATTTGGGCCCAAAGCCCAGCCCCATGACCTCAGCTTCAGAAAGTTCTTGAGGTGGGCTGAGCATCCTGCTCAATTCAACAGATCCATGTGGGACTCTTGTTTGACTACACAATAACTATACCTGAGCTCAGCATTAGAGTTCTGTCCCTGACCTAAAATCGCTGGCAGCTGGATAAGGGAGAGACAAGACAGAGTCATCATTGCCATTATTTACATTGATTGTGACCAAGTCAGCTGTGGTGACCATGGTAGCCTTCCATTTCTGGATGGTCTTAAAGAAAGTATCTGAGCCAAGAAAGGAAAAGCTGAGCTTAGTACCTGGGTAAAGAAGGGTGGAAAGAAAGTGTCATGTGTGAGAAAATGTCATCAGCCCAGAACCAGTGAGAGCTTTACTATCTGAGCTGCTGGGGTGCCTTGAGAAAGGCGAAAACCTGGTAGAAAGGAGACTGGGCAGGTGGGTTTCTGCCCAGTTATGTAAAGCATGCTGTTGGGAGGGCAGCCTCTCACTTGGGCCAGTCAGCATCCATGATGGCTACAGGGCACTCCTACTGGCAAGGAGTGAAGATGAAGGAAAGAGATCCTGCCTAGAAGAGAGTTGCAGGAGCCCAACTGAGAGCTTCCTGGGGTAGGAGCAGGGAAGGAGAGCCCAAGGAGTATGGAGATGGTAACATGGGCAAAGCCTGGTTATCCATTACATGTGAAGGAAAGTGGTAAAAGGTAACTCTTAAATTGCTAGGTAGGATTTAGAGCTGGTCTATGCAAAATACTTGCAGTGATATTCAAATGTACAGATGCAATGCTTTCTTTATAACTTTTAGTTTCAGATCTCAAGCTTTTGAACTTTTCTCTCCCAGTCTTTCATTGGGTCATTATTGTATTATTTCTTTTTTGAAAAATTCCTGTGAAATCCTTGCTTTCTGCCCATTTGTCTTGCAGGAGGGATCTCTCCTGTTTTGGGGTGAAGGTGGCTATTATCGAACCTGGTTTCTTCTACACTGGGTTAATCCAGAGTGATTCATTATTGGTGAGCTTCAAGGAGCTATGGAACAAGGCCAGCTCTGAGATCAAGGAGACCTATGGCGAGGAATTTCTGGCATCCTGTAAGTGAGCTGTGGACGTGGGAAACTTGTACCCTCATCCAGAATCCTTAGTCTACTGTAAGGGCCTCTGATAGTATATGGTTTGCCACAGGAGAGCTCCTTAGAATCATTGACCTAAGACAGGATTCTGATTCACCAGAAGCTGGGACTGGAAAGTGAATCTAGACAGGAAAGCCTGTGCATGCATGTGAGCTGGATGGAGAGACTGTTTCCCATCTGTTCAGCTTTCCTTCTATTAAGGATAGAGAACTTTTGTTGATGTCCTGCCCACATTCCCAGGAACTGAGGCAGAATGTGGAACAATTGTTCCTTGAGGATGGGTTCTGGTACTTCCAGAGTGTTTGGATAGATTAGGTTTGGACCTGGCTTCCTAGGGTGGGAGGAATGAGATCTTAGGAGACACTTCCCTTCTGCCATTGATCCCAGAGCAGGAGTGATGGGAGGAAGACAGATACCTGAATCACTTTCTCATTCTCCACAGACCTGAAACTGTTTGCAACATTGCCCCAAAAGTGCACAAAGAACCTGTTCTTGGTGACAGACTGCATGGAGCATGCTTTGATTGCCCATCATCCTCGCACTCGCTACACGGCTGGCTGGGATGCCAAGCTCGTCTACCTCCCCATGAGCTACTTGCCTACCTCCCTAGTGGATGCCATAGTCAACTGGACTTCCATAAAACCAGCCAAGGCCTAGGAAGCCAACAGTTAGGTGCACAGTTGGGGGAAACTGGGTTGGGTACTGTGAGGGATGGGACACCTCAGGGGAAGGGAGAGTACTCTCATGTCAGGAAAGCTCCTATTCAACCTTCTTCATCCAAAGAATTCTGCTGAGATATTTACTCTTCAAGACTAATGAGGTAGCCAGGCACCAGTGGCTCACACCTATCTATAATCCTAGATAGGCAGGAGGCCAAGATTAAGGATCACAGTTTGAAGCCATTCCAGGCAGGAAAGTCCAAGAGACTCTTAGCTCCAATTAACCACCAAAAAGTCCAAAGTAGAGCTATGGCTCAAGCACTAGAGTGCTAACCTTGTGTGAAAAAGCTAAATGACAGTGACCAGGCCCTGAGTTCAAGCTTCAGTACTGGCACAAAAATAAAAGGCCTGGTGAGTTTAGGAAAAAAGGAACCAAGGAATTCCATTATACTTCCATTATATAAGGGATTCCATTATACTTCCTGAGACCAGCTGACTTAGGCAGCTACCCAAGGCTCTGAACATCATGGCATATTATGAGTAATCCACATGATTTCAAGTGTTTTGGCAGATACTCAATCCACTCTTCTGATCCTGCCCTCCTCCTCTGTGCATGCGTTAGCTCTGGCGAGTTTACACCTTCCCACAACATGGAATGGCCTAGAGACCCTCCTCGTCTGAAATTTTAATTGGCGCCAGTGGCAATCTATACTAGTCCTAGTCTTTGAGTGCCAGATCAATAGGCACTACTATCAGTAGGTTTTGGATAGAAAATTGTATTCCTGGTAGGAATCCTGCCAGATAATAGCAACATTAATTTCTTTTCTAGTTTCTCCCTCCCTCCATCCCTTTTTAAATTTTCTTTCTTTCTCTCTTTATTCTTCCTTTCTTCCCCCTCTCCACCTCCCCCCTCTCTTTTCTTTCTTTCTTCCTTTCTTTCTTTCTTTCTTCCTTCCTTCCTTCCTTCCTTTCTTTCCTTCTATCTTTTCCCCTCCCCCTCACTTAGGTTTGAACTAAGGACTTCATACTTGCTAGGCTGGTACTCTACCAGTTGAACTACTCATATAGTAAAATTAATTGGAGAGGAGGCATTAAAGCTCACTGCCTTCTGACTAAACATGTTTCAGTTGCCTCAATAAAATCATTTTTTAAAATGTCTTAAAACTAGGGTGGGTTATCTTGCCCATGTAATTGTAACCCCTCTGTATGGTATTTTCACAATAAAAAATAAATTAATTTAAAAAAAAAACAAGGTGGGAAGGTGGCCTCGTGGTAGAGTGCTTGCCTAGCATGCATGAAACCTTGGGTTCGACTCCTCAGTACCACATACACAGAAAATGCCGTAAGTGGCACTGTGGCTCCAGTGGTAGAGCGCTAGCCTTGAGCTGAAGAGCTGAGGGACAGCAACCAGGCCCAGAGTTCAAGCCCTACAACTGACAAAATAAATAATAGCCATGGCTTTCAAATATAGCCCTTGGGACTACTGCTTAATTTACCAAGTGGTTTGAAAGCCTGCCAGCCTGATCAGGACTCAGAGATAGAACTCTGAAGGTTAAAGCTGCCCATTGGGGGCATGAAGGAAGGGACTAGGTGAGCTGGAGCTGCACTAGAGCTCCACTGCCAGGAGACTGGACATGGCAATAGCAGCAACCCATTGGACTGTGATGACCACATATTCAGAAGCAGGCTCAAGTGGGAACCCTGAAGTCACAAACAGAGGTGGCTCCTTCTCCCGTGTTCCTGTACTGTTGCAGTAGGTCTCTCCTTCCCACACATGTATGCTTCAGGGAGGCTTCCCAAGTGATGGGGGAGGAAAAGCTTGAGGCTAACTCCAAGATGGATCAGCTTATTCCTTTGACTCTAGTTGAAAATAGATGCCACCCTATCTGGTTCTTTCCTGCAGAGATCTTGCATAAGGAGTTATTTCTTTACGTGTGTGTGTGTGTGTGTGTGTGTGTCTGTGTGTCTGTGTGTGTGTGTGTGTGTGTGTGTGAGTTGGGGGCTTGAACTCAGGGCATGGGCTCTGTCCCAAACTCTTTTGCTCAAAGCTAGTATTCTACTACTTTGGGCTACTGTACCACTTCCAGTTTTCTGGTTAATTGGTGATAAAAGTCTTATAGAGCCGGGCGCCGGTGGCTCACACTTCTAATCCTAGTTACCCAGGAGGCTGAGATCTGAGGATCACGGTTCAAAGCCAGCCTGAGCAACAAAGTCCATGAGACTCTTATCTCCAATTAACCACCAGAAAACTTGAAGTGTTGCCGTGGCTCAAGTGGTAGAGCACTGGCCTTGAGCTGAAGAACTCAGAACAGCACCCGGGCCCAGAGTTCAAGCCCACGACAGGGAAAAAAAAAATAGTCACTTGGACTTTTCTGGCTGGGCTGGCTTTGGACTTTGCTGTCTGGGCTGGCTTTGAACCTCGATTCTCAGATCTCAGCCTCCTGAGTAGCTAGGATTACAGGCATGAGCCACCAGCACCCAGCTTTGGTGTGTTTTTTTTAAAAAATATATAAATACACATTACTTTGTTTTTAGTGTTTTTTGAAAACATAAGCATATTACTTTATCATACAAATGGTTTAAAATTACTTGAGCCCCTTCCCTAGTCCTTTTACTATGTTACAAAACCAAGTTTAACAATTTAAAGGCAATTTCAGAGAAGTATGTAATAGATCAACATTTGGAAGTAGTTATTTTCATTATAAAAGAATCTGTTTAGAAGCCAGGAGCTGGTGGCTCATGCCTATAATCCTAGCTACTCAGGAGATCTTAGGATTGCAGTTCCAAGCCAGCTCAAGAAGGAAATACCCAATAAAACTTTTTTTTTTTTGTCAGTCCTGGAGCTTGAACTTTGGGCCTGGGCTCTGTCCCTCAGCTCTTCAACTCGAGGCTCACCCTCTACCATTTGAGCCACAGTGCCACTTTCAGTTTTCTGGTGGTTAATTAGAGGTAAAAGTCTTATGGACTTTCCTGCCCGGGTTGGCTTTGAATTGTGATTCTCAGATCTCAGCCTCCTGAATAGCTAGGATTACAGGCATAAGCCACCAGCGCCAGGCTATCCAATGAGACTCTTTTTTGGGGGGGGGTCCGGTCGTGGGCCTGAACTCTGGGCCTGTACACTGTCCCTCAGCTCTTCAGCTCAAGGCTAGCGCTCTACACTTGAGCCACAGCGCCACTTCCAGCTTTTTTTTTCTGCTTATGTGGTGCTGAGGAATCGAACCCAGGGCCTCATGCATGCAAGGCAAGCGCTCTACCACTGAGCCACCTTCCCAGCCCCCAATGAGACTTTTATCTCCAGTTAACCAACAGAAAAACTAGAAGTGGCACTATGGCTCAAAGTGGGAGAGCACTATCCTTGAGCAAAAGAGCTCAGGGACAGCTCAAGGCCCTGAGTTCAAACCCCATGAAAGGAAAAAGAAAAAAAATCTTACGTTACTAGCATGCTCCTGCCTAAGAGAAAATATGCCCCACCCCTCTTGTTGATGTTGAGGCATTGCTTCCAGAACATACTTGGAAAAAAGAAGCTTTCTCCTTAGCTCCTCCAAATGCCAAAATTCCAGGGTAGTTGCTCTGCCCAATGTCTTGCTTAGAAGGGGTCTGCTAGAGAAGGAAAAGGGTGCTGATGGGAAAGCTGGAATAACTTTGGAGAGGCAAGAGTGTGAGGTTTAAGGGTAGGCTTGCTGGACACTACATGGAGGGAATACCAGGCTGGTTCCCTGGCCAGAACTAGGCTGAGATCTCTTCTGATTCTTCCCCAAACCCAGCACACCCCGTGATGTACTAAAGGGATGCTTGACTTGTTTTACTGAGTAATAGAATATGTGAAAATTATTATCAAAGGACTATTAGTACAAGGATGATTGTCATGAAAAATAATGCTGACATGGCCAAAAGTCAATGCCATAACATGCTGACAATTACAAAGCAAGTCACTCGCTTGGCCCTTCTTGTGTGATGACAGCTTCCATTCATTTAGAAACACCTACCTTTCATTATCCTAACAAAGCAGATGGAGTTCCAAGATTTTTCAACCACACTATTTTACCCAACAGTATTTTCACTAGAAGGCTTTCAGAGTTATTCAGCAATAAAGAAGCTTAATAATTAGCAAGAACACATGCCTGTTGTAAGCAAATTTGTCACATAAAACATAAGTCTTGCCAAATATAAAGATGCATTAAAACATTAAAAACAATTCAAATGAAAGACACTGCTTGGTCCATTAAAAAATTTCCATTCCAAAGTGAGGTAAACCAAGCTCAGAGAGCCAAACAACATGTATTTTCTCTTATATGTGGAAGCTAGATCTAAAATACGCTGGGACATGATAAATTATACAGGATGGTAGGCATTCACAAAGGAGGGACCAAAGAAGGATACTCTTAGGTGAGAAACACAAAGACGCCATGCCTATGTGCATCTGATCCTATAAAATAATATTTATTGAAAAGAACTCCAGGATATGGAAACGAGGTTTTTCTCTTTGTTTTTGTTTCTGTTTTCTTTTTGTCTTGTTTGTTCATTTATCTGTCTTCGGGAGGGTCAGGGGCACAGAAATGGAGTGACAAAGGGTGAAAGGAATGCAGCAGTGGTACTCACTAGACACTACGTTGAAAATGAACTATGCAACTTGTGGGTGAGGACAGGAGGGAAAAACAGACACAGGAAGGGAAGAAGTGTTCTCTTTACCTGACTTATATAACTGTAGCCCTTTTGTAATAACAATATATATATATATATATATATATATATATATATATATATATATATATATATATA